TTTGGTCGGGGTTGACCTGGATACCTCGCTGTGATACTAGGAAACCCTGGAATTTTCCTGAGGTCACGCCGAATGCACACTTTTCAGGATATAGTTTCATTCTGTATCGCCTGACTATGTCGAAGACTTCTTTCAAGTGGTGATGTGATCGTCTTTCCTTTTGGACTTGACCAACATATCGTCTATGTAGACTTCCATAGTCTTGCCGAGTTGATCTTTGAACATTTTGGTCACCAACCTTTGGTATGTCGTCCCTGCGTTTTTTAGTCCGAAGGGCATAACCCTGTAGCAGTACGTCCTATGATGGGTGATGAAGGTGGTCTTCTCCCGATCCTCCTCTTCCATGAGGATCTGATTGTAGCCTGAGCAGGCGTCTAAGAAGCTTAGCAATTCATGCCCGGTCGTTGCGTCAATGAGCTGGTCGATAAGAGGTAACGGGAATCAATATTTGGGGCATGCTTTATTTAAATCTGTAAAGTCTACGCACATTCGCCACTTCCCATTTTTCTTTTTCACCATGACCACATTGGCGACCCATTGGGGGTATTTTGACTCCCTTATGGAGCCATTTTCCAGTATTTTTTTTACCTCTTTGCGGACTGCATCATTTATTATGGAATTGAACTTCCGCCCAACCTTCCTCACCGGGGGTGGAATGGGTCGACGTTCAACTTGTGTGTGGCATTCTCCTTCGGGATACCTGGCATGTCTGTGTGGGAAAAGCATGCAAGTCTGCTTCAGTAGTTAAGAATTGACGAAAATTACCTGGTTCTTGAAGCTTGCAACCGATGTAGGCCTTCTTGCTGTGGTCGTTAACATCAAGTTGAACGGGGTCGAGGTCTTCTATGGTTAATTCCGTGGCCTATACTATTTTGGGATCTCTGATGACGTCCTCTCTTTTGTCACAGCTTGACCTCGACCCTATTAATTATTATGCCTCTTTTGCTTTGCCCTTCATCTACTAGGTGGTTGTACAATCCAGGGCGATACGGTAGCATTCTCTAGATATGCGTTGTTTTTCTCGTATGTTGAATATTCCTCAAGGGGTTGGAAATTTGATAACTTGGTACAAGCTGGAGGGGATGGCCCCCATGGCGTGTATCCAGGATCGACCTATTATGGTGTTGTACGTCGTATCCTGGTCCATGATGTGGAATGTGGTTTATAGAGTGACGCCGCCGGCCAGGACGAGGAGTGTGATTTCTCCAGATGTTCGTTTAACTGCATTGTTAAAACATGTTAGCATGATGCATTGCGATACAATCTTATCCTCGAGTTTCATTTGTGCAAGTACTCGAGGGTGGATAATGCATGCGCCGCTCCCATCGTCCACCATAATGCGTCTTACATCTGTATCTAATATTCATAAAGTGATAACAAGGGCATCATAGTGAGGGAAAACCAAATCGTGGGTATCTGACTTATCGAAAATAATACTTTCTTCGAGTTTGTCATACCGTTCGTGAGTGATCGACCATTTGATCTTGTGGGTTGTGGTGAACTTTATGATGTTGGTCGAAGCGTCATCGCGCCTCCGATGATCATTTGAATGGTGCGATTCGGTGAGGGTAGTTTCGGCGGTCCTTGGTGCTGTTTACATCCTCGCGCAAAGTTGGACCTTCCTTGGTTTCTCAGCAATTCTTTGAGGTGTCCTTGGTGAAGCATGTTCACGACCTCCTGCCTTAGGGCGATACAATCCTCAGTTTTGTGACCTTGCTCTTGGTGGAACTCGCAGAGGGAGTTTGACTTTATGGTGCTTGGATCTGACATCATCTTTTGTGGCAACTTTACTTTTGATCCGAGCTTCTCCAATGCGTAGACTATTTCTGAGGGTGACACACAAAAATTGTGAGCGGATAATAAAGGGGGCATACCTCTTTCATTGCGGTGAGTCCCTGTCCTTGGTCTAGATAGGCCCTCTTTGTGGCGGGAAGGGGGCATGATGGCGCTTTTGATATATGGCTGATGCCTTTCTCGGTTGGGTCGTGGAGCTGCAAGATCCCTCCTAGCATCATTTCTTCGATCCTTCCTAGATTCGGCCTGTACCGAGGTCAACCGATGAGTGGGCCCATTTAGGTCATCTTCGTCTGCACGGACCTTGGCACAATAGGCATTGTCTATTTCATCCCAAGTTGTTGGAGGATATTTTATAAGCTGACTTAATAATTTTTCGGTAAGGTCATCCTTACTCTGTTGAATCGAGCAAGGAAGTCCCTCAATCCCTCTCCGGGCGATTGTTTGATGGCAAATATATTGTTCACTCTTGCCTTCGCCTTTTTAGCCCCAGCATAGGCCGTTACGAACTTGTCGGCCATCTCTTCGAACGTTTCAATGGAATGCGCGGGCAGTTGTTAATACTAAGTTAATGCTCCTCTAGTGAGGATCTCGCCGAACCTTTTCAACAAGATGGAGGATACTTGTTCTTTGGCGAGATCATTGCCTTTCACTGCAGTAACATAGTGAGTTACATGATCTTCGGGTTCGGTCGTACCATCATACATTTTTAGATAAGGCGGCATCTTGAAGGTCTTGGGTATGGCATGCAGAGCGACTTCATCACTATAGGGTTACTCAACGAACCAACCAGCATCTCTTTTTGGCAAGAGTTTTGGGGCACCCGGTATTTTCTCGACTCTTTCTTGGTGCTCTCTCATTTGGTCCCGAAGCATTTTGATCTTATTTTCCATTTCTTCCATCTTCCTCAGAATGGCTGTGAGGGTGTCGTCACCTGTATTATTAACATTGTGAGTGATACTTGTTACTGGAGGGAGAGGATCGTGTTGCTCGGATGTTGTCAGTGTAATGCTCCTTGTGTTTTCTCTAGCTGCCTCCTGGGCGGGCTTGTCGATGATGCTGGTTAGCGTGTTTGTTAGCCAAGCCTCAAGTAGTATTTTCACTACTGGTGGCACCTCTTCCGTCGTAGACGTGGAAGCTTATTTACCGCTGGATGTTGTGATATTGCCGTCAGGGAGGGGCGATCCACCTCGCCTAGAGGAGGCGTTGGGCATTATATCCTCGCTGTCTGTTTCAGAAACCTCATTGATGATGTTCAAGAGGTTGGTGGTGAGATCGGCCATTGCCTTCATTTTTTTTTCTCCATTACCTTCCATGTCAGATCCGTGTGTACAAGGGAAAAAGGAGTTTTACTCCTTTTTTTTTGTAAACTATACTAGTTATAGATCTAGAAGAATCTAAAATTTTAACTAGGAAATCCACACAGATGATGCCAAATTGTTTGACCAAAAAGTACAAATCTTCGGTTAAATTAATCAATTTTATGTAATGAGGGATTAAGCCTGGTTGAAAATAATATCCCTAGATTTATAACTAACTAACACTAATAACGCAGGATAGTGTTAGTGAGGGATTATATGCAATATGCATTTAATATTTCAAGAGAAGTAATGATGGAAGAATATCAAGCAATAAATAACAATAAATGACATTAACATAAATAAGGAGAATGATTCACCCAATATCGAATGAGGTGGATGATTCTTCTTTCTGACAGCGATGAGTGATAGACAAATCCTAGAATATTGGAACTATTCTCGGATTTGATAGTAAAGTATAGAATAATGGATGGTAGAATCTTATTAGAAAGGTAGTGTTTGTATCTTTTCTAGAGAGAGTTTTCTTCTCAAAAAGTGTTCTTATCAGAATAAATTACATGCCCTTCCCCCTTATCTCTTTTTCTATGTATATAGGACATATCCCCAGTCAAACATAAAAGTACCTGTACAGAGAATATTCAAGGGAATATTCCCTTAAATATCTTATTAAAAAACTAGTCGTTAGTACCGTCCTTGATATTTGACCTTGGCCGTTATTGACTGCCCCTCTTTTTTTCCTACTGTCTACTAGTCGACCTCGGTCACATCACTCCATAATATCACTCCATGCTAAATCTCATTGAGAAAGATTTTGACCTATACATTTTTAGAGAAGAAAAGTGAAAGCAATGAAGATTTTGAGGTCGGTAAGAGGAAGTTCTGCGACAAATAAAGGTTAAAATAAAAAAAATTCACCGATAATGTTTTTGCCAAATCTAAGCATGGTTCTTCACCCGCAAGCATTTTTCCGGCAAGACCACCAAAAATGGAGAAGATTACTGCTTGTCAATAAATACACACTGCTTTAAGGAAGAAGATTAATGGTCTGTCACCTTTGGGATTAATCATAACTAGTAGTCCTAGCATTTTCAGCCCATTCAGAAAAAACTATCTCATTCTCTTTTTAATTTCATTATCAGGAACTTAAAAAATCCTTGATGGGTTTCAAAAGCTTGCAGCGAGCTATGGCATTGGATAAGGAGAAAAAGTGATGTTAAAAAAAAGAAGAAAGAGAAAAGTAAAAGAAAAAAGGAAAAAAGAATTAAAATAATATATTGGGTAGTGAGCTTATAAAAATGCTGACATATATTATTACGTGTCAATTTATTTGAGGGCCCCGAGTGACACAGTGTCAAAACGTTATGGTTAGGTGTATTTTTGCTTACTTTATTAATGGTAAGGATGGATTTGAACGAAAAGTATAACGAGGGACAAATGTAAACTATATACAATAATACAAGGACAAANGGTTCGCGTCTGGTTGGGAAAGGAGAAGGCACGGTTTTTTATATAGGTATAGCACGCATATATAAGGCGCTATAGTATAGCGTGGTTATTCGCCGCGCTATACTTTAACGGACAAAACCGTCGTTAAAGTATATTGCGGTGAATACCCGCGCTATATATAAAATGGTGCCCAATTATTTTTTTTAATTTTTTTGTGTCTCTCGAGTCCAAAAAGATTACATTTAAGTTTGGGGCCCATATATTTGTACAGTATAGTTTTCTAAGAATATACTTATATATATGGTTTCCAATTGCATTAATATTAGAGGCAGATCTGATCTAACATTTAACATGTGGCTGAGATCTCGTGTTGAAAAGCTACATCTTTCTTCCACAAACATATCAAATACCCTCAATTTCAAGATAGATCGGATGAGTTACCCACGAAAACAAACACGTATCCACAAAAAATTATTATTATTTTGACAAATATTTATATGTATATTAAAAGGTGCACTCACTGCTTTTAAATTCCAGTTCTACCTTTACAAATTTTGACAAATTTTTGCATTCTCTAATACATGATACTCATCTAGAATACAAGTATATAGATACTCATCTCTACGGTTTTAATAGTATTTGGTCCCTATAAATTAATTATTAGTCAACTACATCCACGGCGGTCCCATTTGATTTACTCATTAAAGCAAAGTCTTAATTTTTCTAGCTTCCCTATATTCCTCTTTTTAATTTCCTCCTCTAAGTTAGCCATAAATTGAAGCAGATTATTTTGTTATCTTGAAAATTGGGACCTTCTTCTGTGCCTTGTATATTTCTCCTGCTAGTAATTGGTGCAAGAAAGAAAGTGATGGAGGGAAAGGTTGAGGCAGTAGCAAAAGAGTTAAACAATAATGGACTTTATTGTGAAACAAAATTGGAGGGGGAAGGAGAATCAGTAACACAGGATATCCAAGTACAATGCGATGACAAAATCAGTGAAGAAGAGAAGAACAAGATTTGCCTTATGAGAGCTCTTGTCGAAAAGCAAGATCCTTCTTCCAAGGTAATTGAATAGTACTCCTGTCTCAATTTGTTTGGTATAGTACTACTGTCTGGAATATGTTATAATATTTGTGTTGTTATAATATTTTTGAAATTTCTGGTCATAAATTTGATATAATATTTATCGGTTGCAAAAGCTTCTTCCTAAGGAAGTATAAAAATATATCTTTTTTTTTAACAAATTAATAAGAAAATAGTATTAAATAAAGTAAAACGCAAGGAGTAACTCTTTATTAGTTTCCTTCCTTCCGTTTACATGTAAAACATCAAGATTTCTAATAGTGTGTTGTTTGACCAAGTTTCTAAAATATGCTTAGTTTAAGAAATATTTTTTTCTCAATAATACTTTTGGTGAAAAACAGTTTATGTTTGACTTATTAATTTAAAATGCACTTCTCAGTAGCAATTAGTATTTGGTCAAACTTGTAAAGAGTGTTTTTAAGTATATTTTTCTCAAAAGTATTTTTGGTGAGAAACTAATATTTCTTGTTTCTCCAAAACTGATTCCGTTTCTTCTCGTAAACACTTTTTTTTTCTTCCAAAAGCTTGGCCAAACACTTCAACTTTAAAAAAAAAAAAATCGTTTAGAGAAGCTTGGCTAAACACTAAACAGGCTATAAGTGTATAACTTCTAGTGAGTTAAAAAGATGTTGTAGGTCTTGGAAAATATACACCTCAGGAACTTACTTTTGCAGTTGAATTTAGCCTAATCTTCATTATTCTAAATCATGTATCAGAGTCAGACCCATGCATGTTCTTGGTTTATCCAATGTTGAGCCCCTATGCTGTATGTTCATTCCCCAAATGTCCAACTCTTGCCGTAGGGGAGGTGTTAAGTGTCGTGCATTGATTAAAGGAATTGACATAAGCTAGTTTTTTGAAGTTGAGTTAGGCTCAGAATCCATCTTCTTATCAGTTTTTTTTACGTCAATTGTTTTCAGGAAGTAGATGATTTTGAGATAAGAAGGTTTCTTCGAGCTAGGGATCTGGACGTAGACAAAGCTTCGGCAATGTTGTTGAAATGCCTTAAATGGAAGAAAAGCATTGCACCAAATGGCTTCATTTCACCGAGTGAGATTCCAAACCAGATAGCACACAACAAAATGTTCATGCAAGGAGTCGACAAACAAGGACGCCCTATTGCTGTCGTTTTAGGTGGCAGACATTTTCAGAATAAACTAGGAGGTCTTGACGAGTTCAAACGTATGATTTTGTTTTCTTTCTCTTTATTCCGTTCCACTTGGCCTGCTACTTAATTTATAGTCAAGACTTTGTTCTGATTTCCAGGATTTGTTGTCTTGGCTTTGGACAAACTATGTTCAAGGTACACTATCTTGTATTATATACTCAGTTGGCAAAATTATTTACCTTTTCAAAGAAGCTTCCAAGTTAGTCAAGATCATGCAACCTTGAAATTTTTATTATTTTATTTTGGGACTTTTTTGATGAATCAGGACCTCACCAGGTAGGGAAAAGTTTGTGGTAATTGGAGATCTCGAAGGTTTTGGCTATTCCAACAGCGATGCTCGTGCATACATTGGGGCTCTGTCCATTTTACAGGTCTAACTAACCATTTTTGTTGAGTTTACCTTTGATACACGGACAATGTAAGGTCTTTTTTATACTATTAGATCACCTAACAGATAACTATTGATAATCGTCCATAGTAAGAAGAATCAGTAACCTGGAAAACAAGGTAGTTTACCTAGTAAAAGTTAAAACATATATATATTAAAATATTGTGATAGTGTAAAAGCGCTTCACCGCCTGTGCATATAAGTGAAATCCTTTTCATTTTTTTCTCCTTGTAGTCCATAATATTGAAGTTTACTACTATTAATTGCAGGACTGCTACCCTGAAAGACTTGAAAAACTAATTGTAGTTCATGTTCCTTACCTATTCTGGACAATGTGGAAAATTGTGTATCCTTTTATTGATAACAAGACCAAAAAGAAGGTGAGGCTCTTCAATTGTTAATGAAACAATGCTAGAGTTTAGTCAAGCTGCAGTTACAGGGGCGAAGCTATGTGTAGCCAAGGGTGGTCAATTGAACATCCTTCGCTGAAAAATTATTGAATAAAAAATAAATTGACTTTGCCCTTGCATAGCCCACCGACAAAGGGTGTATTTAAACACTCTTATTGAATTTCTTAGCTTCGCCACTATGCAGTTGTAGTTAGGGATTGCCACGTTAAGTTATTGGTTAAACCATGTGTTAGATTATCTTCGCCAAATTAAATTGATTTTTATCTTTCTTCTCAGATCACATTTGTGGAAAACAAACGACTTGTGACAACCCTACTTCAAGACATTGATGAAAGTCAGCTACCTGAGATTTACGGAGGCAAAATGCCATTAGTTCCTATTCATGAGGCCTAAGCATGTAATTATTTAGAGCTCCTTTTCAAGGAGTTTCAACCTGATCGAGCTGGTAATGCTCTCAAAAGTATGACAAAGTTTGTACCGATATTATACATTTGTATACGTTATGCATTAATAAACATTTATATTTTACCTAATTGCCACTTCAGCTTCCATATGATTTTTGACTAAACTGGATAGTCCTCTCTCTCAGATTCTACAGTAGTCGAAGATAAGGTTGTATAATATTCACTTAAAATCCTCTTTGTAGTCCTGAAAGGGTTAAATGCCTTTGTAAGTCCTCTGCATTTCTCATTAAGCTGGTTTTCCACCTATTATTTTAGTGTTCCATCATTTCTAGCAAAGCGTAGCGGATATATTTAAATTCTGATGGAATATTCTACTAAGGTTATACATCAAATAAACACGTTATACTGCTCTGGCTTAACATGAAGCCTGAACATTGGAACCAAGTATGTGAAAATCATCACAGAATAAGGTTAAGTTACCAAGTTTCTCACAGTCAAATCGTTATATATCCTGGCCTCACCAGTCAAACGTTACAGGAGAAAACAAATTCAGCTGGCAACTAACACGATTCCCTTGAAATGATAACTGCATGTGTGATCAAGTGATCTAAACAATTAGTATAACATAAGTTTTCCCATCCCTTCTTTTCGTCCATCCTCTTCAAATTGCAATATCAATTTCTTGTTCCATCTTGTATTTGTCTTCGTAACCAATATGACATCTTGTATTTTAATTTTTTGTGTTTGGTCGGCATAAATGTTTGAAAAATATTTTTCTTATAAACTCATTTTCCTTCGATTAGACTAAAATGACTTCTCTATCAAGAGGAAGGAAATTATTTTTCAAAACTCTCTTTCAATCCACACCCTCGCCACCTGGCCCCTATACCTATCCTAC